GCGTAACTTATATATAAAGTGCTAAAGAAAACTTTAAGTTTGTTTTTCTTGATTATATTTGAGTGTTGCACTTTACTATTTTACAGGTAGTACACTCGCATGGTGTACTACCTCTACACCAAAGATCATCAAAATCCGTTTCCCCAAAGCCGTAGGGTCTCCTTGTAAGAAGTAAATTTACTATTTATGAGTTCCATTATATTATTGTATCTTAGAATAAACATATTTAAGTTTATAACGAACCTGTAGTACACCAAATGTTGCTAATTTGTCGCACGAGAATGTTACTAGATTATTCTGAACTTGTAATATTTTACATCCATTACTTGACCAATCACCTTGTCCATCTGTTAAAATATATAACAAATAAAAATATAAATGTTAAAAAATAATCATTTGAGCTTGTTGTACTTTATAATATATACCCGCAGCATTTACGTCCCACCACACCGGCACCACGTCGGAAGTATAAGCAGGAACTTGTAACATTACGACTACGGGTTCAGTTAAGTTGTGTACGGGCACGAGAGCTAGAAAAAGAATTTTACAGATGAACACATTGCATGGTTTGTTAAACGTATTCCAAATTGTCACGTTACTTTCTCTTACCTACTTTACACGATATCACGGACGACGTCACTTCCCGCCATTCCTTAATGCTCGCCGGCCGAGGAAATAACACGCTGTTATGATATATAATAAAGTGTAATTTATGTTTTGGTCCTTTGGTGGGAATTTCTTGAAAGAGGGAAGAGGGTAGCTGAATAAATGCTTCTATTTTCTATTTTAAAAAAATTAAGCATATGTAAATATTTACAATTTATAACATTTTAATTAAATATATTTTATGTACCTTTTCCTTGCTAATTGTGGTTGGAAGACTTGTAAAGTTTAAATTATTACAATGTAAGATTTTATCGGTATGAAAGTTCTCAAGCCAACTTTTTAATGGTAAATTTTTCACATTATAATTTTGTTTGTAAGAAGTACAAGTCATTCCATGAAAACCTTCGGATTTGGCAAAGAATTCTTCGACTGCCAGATGATTTTTATTTCTGTTCAACGCACTTTCTATTAGAATGTCTGATAATGATTCCAACGAACGAACGAGCCTTTAAGAAAACATGCGCATAAATTCATGTTATTAAATAATTGAAATAATACTCTCCAATTACACAAGTAAAACTCAATTGCAATTATTTTAAAGAATATTACAGAAAACTTAATAATAATAATATTATTAGGTACAATTATATAATTATTTAGTTTGGGAACGTTTTCTTTTGTTAAAAAGACAAAAGTTATTTACAGGATTGTTGCTCATGAGAATCATTGTCACCAACCTAAAATGGCATCTTATGGATTAAGCAGTCTCCAAAGAGAGTAGTCACTTCATCACATTATCAATTTCTAAAATCAGTGACAAGAAATTTATGAAAATATTGAACTGGCTCTTGTTGGAAACAAATTGCGAACAATTAAAACTAACGGTTAGCAAGTATGTATGTAAATTGCGTAGAGTGGCAAGTGCTAATGCGACATCACATTCAGGATGTATAAAGCAATGATGAAGTTACCGAGTGCAAGCGAGATGATATTTTACAGTACAATGTCTAGCGAGTGAAGAGATTGGATTCTTTTGGCATTCCTGGTGTGATGGTTATGTGGTTTAGATTATAAAAGTTTTGTTAAGTGCTTTGACTTTGAGTTATTTTTTGTTGGTTTTTGGAGAGACTTAATTGGGAAACTTAAATCTAACCTAAAATTGTCGGGAAAGTTTTGTAAATAAATACTTTTTAGTTTTTGGATTTTGAATTGGACTACAGTCGACCCCCCTATAATTACGGTCCCTATAGTTACGATTCCTATAAAACTACGAAAAAATTGCTACCGGTATCCGTAAAAAATAGTAAAAGTTCCCTATAAACACCTCAAACGTCATCGGGAAGCCGAACTACTTTCCCGCCGTCCGTAGCGCCATGCTACGGAGAGATTTCTATCGTCTGGACAGTATTATATAAATTATATATAAATTAGGTACTGTACATATAATTATATATTAATTATATATAAATTAGGTACTGTATATATAATTATATATTAACTTAATTTATTGTAACTTTATTATAATTATATATATACTTTCCGCCGTCCAGCGCCACGCTACGGAGAGTTTAGGCGAGTAAGTTGAGTTTACTATCGTCTGTACAGTATGTAAATTAGGTACCGTAAGTCTAATACAGTACTGTAATTTTATACATTTCTTGTGAAAGAAACATTTCTTATTCAACGGCCATAAAAATTATTTCTATTAATGATGTCTCCAAAGTTCAACGAATTTTTCGCAGAAAAATAACATCAGAAATCGCGGCCGCCGTTTGGTGTTGCTCCGCAACGAACACAAGCTTAAGCAATGGCGATGTCGAACGGTGCACACTTAGTAAGTAATCCTACAATTTTTTGTTTATAGCATAGTTTATACGGATTATTCCCAAAAAATTATACGTATTTTGGAAATGTTAAGTCAAATTAGTCTAGAATCGATTAATTTTATGGAAGAAAACCTTTCAAACAGCTGTAGTCCATAAACTTCACATGTGTCGGGCTGCGATTGGCTCATGTATTTAAGGATTCCTACAACGCGAAATTCGTATAACGAGGAACGTATCTCCGCGTTATAGGGGGGTCTACTGTATATGCCAAGCCTGGGTAAAGTGATAGCTGGCTGAGTACTATACTGGGAGTTATACATTGTGGATGCTGAGTTGTTAGATATAACTATACTGGTGCTGTGAGTAACCAGTACAGTAATACCCCGAACTTACGCGATAGGTGGGACCGAGCGATAACTGCGTAAGTTGGGGTATAATTTTGCATATAAACACATACAAATAACACAAAATAAATTGTAGCTATATGTCAAACACGTCCGAACATGTAAGCCGAACAATAGTGTGGGGGGAAATGAGTAATTAAGAGTTGCGTGGCGCTCAAACAAAAGACGAATCGACGAGATTTGAAAATCGCGTAACTCCGGATTCGCGTAAGTCGGGGTATTACTGTATAGTTATATCTAAATTAATAGTTCTGGAAGCATAGATTGGACGGAGGTTGTTAGTGTACCTAGCAACGCAACCACATGGCAAGCAAGAGTTTTGAGTCTTGTTTCAGACTGATTCTTTTCTTCCAAAACCTATAAATTAATTGAATCTTTCCTAAATGCAAGCAGCTAGCTCTGTAAGGATCTTTGAATTTTAAAAGCCAATATTTAAATTTAGTATCTTCTAATGCTTGTTTACACCGTTTTTTTTTTTTTTCATCTTTACACAGCTCTCCTCTAATTGCTCGTTTTTTTGGCATTGAAAGCTACTCCCAACTTTTATCTTCATACATACATATTCAAATAATATAGTTTACAATTAACCTTATTTTACATTACATACATGGTAAAAATCTAAAGTTAACCTACTGCTGCGCTTTTATTACATAATCAAAAGTGCTAAGAATCACAGAAATGCCATTTACAATTGTTAAAAATGATGTAACAAAGCTATTTGCATTTTTCTTGCTTGCATTTACTGCATTTTTCAAACTAAAGCATATTATTGTCAAAATCATATTATGTTCTGCCTTCTGTAGAGTTGCATTTTTCTTTCCCAGCACTGTTATTGCCATACTTTCCTTCTGTTTTATATAAGTCAAAAATGACCAATTGACCCTCCAAGATTTTTACATTTTTGAACTCTGGGCCCTGAAAAATTTAGAAATGCAAAAAAAATTATGAGGATTTTTCTTTGTGTGAGGATGTTTGTGTATGTGTGGGGCACGATTTTGTCACTCTCTTTGAAGCTTAATAACGCCTTTGCTTTCTGTCTAAATTTTCAGAAATATTGTAGGGTGATTTGTTATTTGGGGGATCAATACTATTAAATTTTGGTAGTTAAAGATCAATGGGATGAGGATATAAAGGGGGTAGTGCGTTATATCTCCAGTAGAGTTGGACTTAATGACAATTTTACTCATTATTAGCATTTATAATTTTTTAATAAAACCCATCCCTATCCTCAAAATTAAGATTTTTGCCATTTTATAATAATTAAAAATTTAAGAAGTTTTTAATAATAAAGTATCATAACAGATGCCACCAAACATGCAATTTTTAATGTTGTTGGGAAAGTTAAGCAACTTAATGCTGGATTTTTAATTATAGAATTAGAAAATCCCTAAATCTCTTATCAGGTGAAAGCATCCTACGCTGAGAGAATAAGCCCTAACCTGACAACACTGTTATTACAATAAATCCGATTATTACAGTTGTGCTTAGTCAGAGTTATTGATGCATTTAAGTGTATATCTAAGAGTATTTGCCTCTCTGTAACAACTATAAAATAGTACACTACAATTCTTCAATACATCATATTAGATACTGCATTTTTGGCTACTTTGTGCATGGAAACTGAAAAATTGTGCCAAACATCTTGCAATTCTGATCAAAGTTTCACTGTATTTTTGTACAGTACATCCATTTCATCTGTATAAAATGAATGATGATGATGATGACGCACAACTTGATAATAAACTGACCTTTCGTTACATTTCCAGTCTCATTTAGGGGCCGGCATCAGGCTTCGATAGATCTGTAGTAGAACTTTTGGAATCGGATGAGTTTTGAAGAAAAAATTGTCCAATTCCAAAATTCTACTACAAATCTTCTGTAGAAGCCTGATGTCAGCCCCTGAATGAGACCAAAAACATTTATATCAACGGCATCACTGAAGAATAGTAATTTTTTATGATGATGTACAATTCTTAGTGGAAATCTGTTCAAATTGAGCAAAATATGAGATTTCAAATTTAATATGGAAAACAAATTTTATTTAAATCCATGTAAAATTTTTATTTTCCTGCATAGTAGTCTCTATATATATATATAATTTTTAAAAGCATGTCCATATGCCACTCTCATTCATACATTTATATATATATATATACATGTGTTCAATTGCTCGTCTAATAAACACGCACATAAAACACAAGTAACCTAACAAAAAAATAATAATAATCCAAGTTTTGTACATTTGCTAGAATGAAATCTTTGGTTAGACAAATTTTTATAAAATTGATTTTATGCCAAATTGGCAAAACGTCTGTTCCATCCTGAGTTTCTTTTTGATTGCCAATAATTAATAATAATAATAATAATTTTAATATTTACAATAATAAAACTCTCTAAACACATTCTTTCGATTATGATACAAAGAAAGATTGGTTTGTAACAAAGAAATTGCTTCACATTGAGATTTCTTGTTGGTGCGAAAGTTCCGAATCGCCTCCCGATACCGATTCCATAGGAGCCTTGCACGGTTGTTCGTAAGCGCTGTACGATCTCGGAAAGTAACAATCTTCGTTATGCTGATCGTAATGTTTCTTGTTCGACGAATACTGATATGCTTTATTAGAATGCACGGAATGGTTACTGTGATGAGTACGTTTGTTTTCGCACTTGGATCTACCATCCCAACTGTGTTGCCTCCTGTTTTTCTTCCAGTGATTTGCACGATTACGTGACCTGGGCCTGTGTTTGTTGTTACCGACGTGATTTATGTTACAGCCCGTCAGGTCGGAAAAACAAGTATTCGATATAATGGAAGAAGGAATTTGACTACAGTCCGAACATTCCGCACAAGAATCTTTATGGTTCTTACAATTATGTGAGACGATCATCCAAGGTGGTAGAGAAAGATGCGGATGATTGTTTAGGGAACCGTTACTGGTCGAGTTGTTATCTTTAATATGCGATTTTGCATTATTTTCGCATAATTTTGTGAAAGTGTTTTGCTTGTTGAATTTCAAATGCGAATTTTTTCGAAGCGGAATCGTCTGGCATCTATTGTTTTCGCTGCTACCACACGAATTGTTTTCTAAATCGTCTTTGGCTTGAATGGAGGAACAATTATTCCTTTGATTATGACTAGATAAATTGATATTATGAGGATTCTGAATACTGTTAGCGGTAGTGGGTTCCAGTTGGTTTTTCTGTTCATTATCATCTAAATTATTTTCATCACAGATGTCGGCCGCTTCTTTTTGCAAATTGTTCTTCTGAAGTAGCTTTAATTGTTGCTGGCGACGATTTTTTTCAAAAAATTTCCTAGCGACTACACTTTGCCTTGGATCGTAAAACATTTCTGCACCATTAAAAGAATGTTCTGTGGAGCTGGGATGCGACGAGAGAATATTACAGTTTGTCAATTTATCCGATCCCTGGTGTGACAGCGAAGCGTTTATGTGCCCTTCCTGCAACGAGGGATTGTTTGAACTTAATATTTCTGTTGGTTGAGTTTCCCTAGTCATTTCCTGTTTAACTTTCAATTGTATCTTTCTATACTTCCAATTTTTAATATATTGACGCACATCTTGTCTGGAATAACAAAAGAAAGAGAAAACAAAGGAACCTATAAGGGTGCTAAAGAAACAGTAAAGCATACTAAATACGAGATTATCTGCAGGAAGATGATTAATAAACGGTCTTCCAGTGGCCATTGCTCCCGATGCCCAAGCAAATATAAATAAAAGTAATAATATCACATGCGCTCGAAGTTGCATATGGCAAGAATACTCTGCATCCTCCATATTTTCAGAGTTGTTATCTCCACAACTGTGAAGAGATCCTTCTTCGTGGTTAGTCTGAGTTAATTCCATAACCACGTTATCTGCAATTGGTATGTTATCACAAACGGGTATTCCAGTCATTGTTATCTTATTATTTTCACACAAGACACAATATATTAGCAAAAAGAAAATGACGAGAAAGAAAACTAGTACTGCTGCTGGACCGTAAAAAGCTGCCAAACTCGGGTTAAAGGACAAGAAACAACTGCAAAAGTAAATATAACTTGTTAATTTTAACTTGAATTTATTTATTTATTTATATGTATGTATAAGTAGAGATTTCACTCACTAGTTTGGACCTCCATAATTTTCTAACAGTACCGCTGCCGAAATCCCACAAACTATCGTCGATATCCCCCAACCAACTAAATAAAACCTTAGCATAGGTTTAGGAGGAAGCAATTGTTCTGGAATTTCTTCATCTGGAAGTAGTTCTGGAGGATCTGTCTTGGTTAATTTCTTGTATAAGTTACTGAAATAAGTTACATAATACATATTGAATGCATAAAGAAACTAAAGATTGATTGTAAATCAAAGTTTAGAATTGGAAAATTACTTCAAATAAAAAACAAATTACCTGACAGTAATTATCATCCAAAGTAAAGTGCAAAATGTCAAATAATGTAAAATTAATCCTACGGCTTCACAAATTTTGGTGTAATCTGTCTGATGGACACCAAAAGTAAAGGTTAAACATAATACTATCATAGAAATCCAGGTATTTACAAGAGAGTGCTTATTCTTCTTTGGCATTTTTATCTCTCTGAGTTATAAAATATTACATAATTACATATGGAGGCGATAAAGTTATTAGATTTTAAAAAAATCAAAATACATACTTGTGACCACAACAGTATATAAGGATTGTTGCACCGAGTCCGCCGACACATAAGAGAGATCCGAAATAAATGGCAGGATGCGACGGCCTAAACTGTGCTCGCTGAAGATTCAGTTCTGCTAACAATGCTTCGACGTCCTGTAATAAATATATCAAATGTTTGTTAGATGTTCCGAAAACTAAACATATAAGTTTGGCCACGACAAAGCAACAGTTTTTGCTAAAATTGTGAAATTTTTTCCTAAATCTAATGATTAATATTTTCAAGATTACAATTTTTATTTAAGACCAAAGACCAAGTGCGACACCACATCAAGCATGCATGTCTATATGAAATCTTACTGTATTCACTGTACGAGTATTCTAAAACTATCACAATAATTGTTTTTTCATCACTAGATTTAAAATGCGGTATTTTATGGCTATTTTTCCAACTATATTTAAATAACTTGAATACATTAATGTCAAAGAGTTAGATAGTAGGCACCATCTCTTATTAAATTTAATAATTATAATAAATGGCGCTTAAAGTCTGTCTCTACTACCAAATTACTTAATAATTTAATTATTAGTAGTAGCAGAAAAATAGTCCAATACATTATGGCAATTGTTTGGCTTTAATTAATAACATATGTACAGTATATATATCTACATTCTCCTTTTTTCACATTGGAGAAAGCACTCCACTGACTTGGACTTTCGGACAGCTTTCGGTCCCTATTAGTTTGAGTTAGCACGGGTTTACTATACACTGGTTTACAAATGGATCGAAAACTGAAAGTGGTGTGAGAGATGGTCAGACAGGAACTTCTTTGTCCCACTGAGTAAGTTCCCTATTGTGTTTCAAGCAGAGTTATTAGCTGATACTTGGTATTTTGAGTTATCCTACATCCTACATCCTCTATGTTTTCTTAGAATATTGTTTCTTATCTTTTTTCTGGTGTCATCCAAGATGTCCTATAATTTCCAAAGCATTTTTCAATTGAAAGGAATCAGTTTCTTCAATTCAGGAGCTTGAGTTTCTTCTACTAGAAGGGGGTTGAGATTGCATTTTCCTGATGGCCACTCGTGACAATGCTTATTCTGCTTTTGCTCCAAAGAAAACAGAATTTGATGTTTTGATCATTTGAAACATCAGATAATTGGTATGTCTACATTGTTATTATGTTAAGATCTCTGATAGTTGGGATGCTTTAAAGGCACTTAACTCTTGTTAGGTTACTTCAGCACTAGTTTGGAAATGCAGTTTGCTGGCTACTTGCAACAGAGTTTTTCTCTTATGGGTGCCAGAGCATGTGGATATTTCTCTCAATGTGCCAATCTAGGAATTTCATACTCTTTTGTATGGTCTAAACCAGCTATGGAGATACTATTTCTAATCATTCTAAGCAGTGAAGATTGTAAAAAACAAAGTAAAACATTTTTGTCCATCAATTTTCTGGCATTCAACAAGACTTGTGTTACAAGAAATTGAAGAGTTTTGAGGGCAAGGGTCAGATCAGCTTTAACTTTTTTGGAGTTAACAAAAATGACTTCTACTGTTTGTTATGAGGAAGATTTGTAATCACTATTCTATGTAATTAAATTTAATTTAGAAAAGATGAAAAGTAAACTATACTCAATAAATTTCAACTGTTTTCTCTCATAGCATACTGCTATATTATCTACACTAGTGGTTCTCAAAGTGGGTTCCGTAAAGCTACATTGAAAAGCAACATTTAATCATAACATAGAAATCGGTACATATCATATCTTATGACAGCAAGTGTTGCCAGACTAGATTATTCAGAGTTGGCAACACTAGTGATGGCTGGCTTTGTCGGTTAGTTACACACCAACTCTTGTGCAGGAAGGTTGTGCTGCTCTACTGTTACCACAAGCATTTCTTCTACTCAACAAATTATTTTTACTATTTTTAAAGCCCTACAATGGATCAATGGTTAAAAAGGATTAGTAAAGCAACAACATCCAAAGAAGATACGGAAAAAGATAAACTTGCAAAGGAACGATCTGCAACTACTATTTCAAAAAACACGGAATATGTTCCCTGTTGTTCTGAACGGCAGCCAGGCAAAAAGAAAAGCAAGTATGATCCTCAGTATTTGTCATATGCCTTTACTAGTACTGGTGATGAAGAAGTCCGAGATGCCATTTGTATACTTTGTCACACAAGATTAGCTAACAGTTCATTGACACCAGCAAAGTTACAAGGACACATGGAGACCAGGAATAGTGTCTATAAAAATAAGGATAAATCTTTTTTTGAAAGGAAACTTGAAAGTTTCAATAAAACTACAAATTTCATGGTGAAGAAATGCAGAACAGACAATGAAAATGCAACTGAAGCATCATATAAAGCATCTTACCATATTTCTCTTCATGGTGAAGCACACACTATTGGTGAATCATTGATAAAACCTATATTGAAAGATGTAGTTTCATGTGTATTTGATGAAAAGTCTGCTCAAAAGATTGAATCTATATCTCTATCTAATGATACTGTGTCGAGGCATATTGCTGATATTTCTGATGACATTGAAACCGAACTTATTTCACGATTACATGCATGTGATGCTTACGTGTTGCAAATGGATGAGTCTACAGATGTGGCTGGACTGGCAATTCTACTTGTGTTTGTTAGATATGACTTCAATAAAACAATTGAGGACAATTTGCTTTTCTGTAAAGTTTAGATTAGAGCTTCATACCACAGGAAAAGATATATTTGATTGTGTTGATAATTATATAACAAATCATGATATCGGTTGGGATAAATGCATTTCAGTATGCACTGATGGAGCAAAAAGGCTATGATGGGAAAATTATCTGGTGCTGTAACTAGATTTAAAATGTTGCAAAAATCTGCAGCAGTAATCACCGAATTCTTCACAGATATGCATTAGTGACAAAAAGAATTTCTGCTTCATTAAAGGTAGTTTTGGATGAAGCCGTGCAAATTATCAATTTTATTAAGACTCGGCCATTATAATCAAGAGTTTAATTTAAAGCTTTATGCGAAGATATGGGTAGCCATCAAACGACTCTTCTTTTACATACAGAAGTAAGGTGGAAATGTGCTGGTGAGAATGATTGAATTGATAAAAGAATTGCAGTTTTACTTTCTTTAACATAAATTTAATTTGTCTGACAGATTAAGAAATAATGTATGGCATGCAAAACTTACATATTTAACAGATGTTTTTTTCAAAGTTGAATGAAACATGCCTATCTCTACAAAGAAAGGAAACAAACATTTTTTGAACTCAAGATAATATGATATCTTTATTGCATTAATTACAGTACTGGATTTCAGAAATAGAGCATAGTAATTTTGACTGTTTTCCACTTCTTACTAAATTTCTACAAGAGTCTGAAATGGAATTGGATGCAGAGACACTCAATGAAATTAAATCACATCTCTTACTGAGTATTTTCCTAACTTGGAGTGCAAAAAATATTATTGGGTACAAAATCCATTCACAGTAACAAAAAAAAACAACAGGATTTCTGTCAGTGGATTATGAGAAATTAATAGAAATTACATCAGATACTCAGTTAAAGGCTAAATTTGAAGTGCCGTTAGATGTATTCTCGAGGAATATACTTGAAGAATATCCCGAAATATCCAAACAGACCATAAAAATACTTTTGCCCTTTACGACAACATATTGGTGTGAATCAGAATTTTCAAGATATGCTAGCACAAAAACTAAGTATCAAAGCAGACTGGATGCCGCCCCAGATATGAGAATCCAGTTGTCAAGTATAAAACCAAATTTCCAGAGGATACTTATGTCAAAAAAAAAACAGATCAGATGCATTCATCTCACTAAAATTTGATATTCCAATTTACGGTAAGTGTGTTTCAAATAAAATATTTCTTTCATTATATAATAAGTATTAATTTAAATAAGGGTTCCATTATATTACAAACAATGTAAAAGGGTCCAATTGCAAAAAAAGTTTGAGAACCACTGATCTACACTATAAGTATTTTTTCCAATTAGTATATTAAAGATAATTTTCTGACTATACATTAACTTTGATCATATATTTTATTGGCAGCTAATAGATTTAGCCACACATGTAATATAATTTGGCCACATAATATTCTAACATAAACCTTTCTTAATTTATAACAGATACATACACATGCTAAATACAAAACTGAACAGTTCTGTTCTTTTGTAAATTTTTGTCCAAATGGCAATTATTAACCACTCTGCAGTGATCGACGGATATACCTGTCATGGGCGATCACGTGGCACTGGAGGACGTCTATATCTGCAAAAAAATTTTGCGGATATGGCCAAAAATTACCATGAAAAAAAATTCACATAAAAATGGAATGTGAAGGCATAACTGTTTAAAAAAATTTTTCCGAAATGGAAACGAGAAAAATTCTTGATACTAGAGTATATGACTTATAACGTAAAAAATAATGGATATCATATAGACTACTAACAAGAAGACCCTACCGATTTTGATGATCTTTGAGTGTAAAATACCTGTAAAATACTGAAGTGTAACACTCAAATATAATCAAGAAAAACAAACTTAAAGGTTTCTTTAGCACTTTATATATAAGTTACACGTACTTCCGCCTCATCATGCTGTGGCGTGATTAGTAATGCTCCTGACTCCGTACGCTTGCATGCTCAGGTTCGATTTTCTTGTGTGTGTATATAAAATATATACNAGTTTAATAGTTTAGAATAATTATAATTTCTTCCAATTCTAAATATCTATTGTTAGCAAAAGGTGCCAACCCTGCACTCTTAGAATAAACAGGCAGTTCTTTATAGCTCGTGCTGGAGTAAGGTGTGTCTCTTACTACTACTGTTTTAAGGTGCTGCAAACATATTGTGTTTTTCATATTAAAAATCTGATTTTAATACCCGCAATGTCGACTAACAATGCTAAGAAGAAATGCAGACAATATTCACAGGAGTATTTGAAATATGGTTTTGTGCCGTCATTTGCTAATGAAACTATTCCTATGTGCTTATTATGTGAAAAACTTTCAGCAATGATGCTATGAAGCTGGCAAAAATGAAAGACCACTTGGAAAGGATCCATTCTGACAAGAAAAACAAAGATTTTGAGTATTTCAAAATACTAAAAGAGAATAACGAATGTCGTTAAAATAAGTTCGATCTTCAGTCTGAATCGTTCTTTTAAACTTATACAACACGCATGCGTGCCGAGTCTTTAAAATTTTAAAGAGGAGATGCTTTTGTCGATGGCCTGGCAAGAGTTGATTCACAACACAATTTAGCCGCCCATTATATCCGACTAGGCAGACTCGGCACACATGCGCGTCGTATAAGTTTAATTTAAAAGAACGATTCGGACTGAAGATCGAACTTATTTTACTAAAAGAGAAATTGAGAGTTCGGCCAAATTTTAATACATATTTGAAGTCATTTGCTAGTGTTGATAGAGGAGGACTGAAGACATCCTACAGCATATCTCTTAATATTGCAAAGAAAGGCAAGCCCTATACTATTTAACAAGATTACAATACAAGCTATAAAAGATGCAATTGAAAATATTATGAAGAAAGACTCTCAACTAGTTTTAAAATGCATACCATTAAGTGCAAATATAGTGCAGCGACGTATTGAGGAAATAGCCGATGATGTGGAAAGAACTTTGAGCTCCAGCATTGTAAGTTTGCTATTCAACTTGATGAATCAACTTTCAGAAGTTCATATCTTCTCATGGCTTATGTTAGGTTTCATAGCCCATCCCTGAATGACATTGTTGATGAATTTCTATTTGCTAAGTATCTTGAAACTGATTGAAACTCAAAAGGTGAGACAATTTTTTTATGTTTGCAAGATTATTTGAACAAGCACAGCATTCCTTTCAGNGTCTAGAATCGATTAATTTTATGGAAGAAAATCTTTCAAACAGCCGTAGTCCGTAAACTTGATATGTGTCGGGTTGTGATTGGAAGGATTCGTAAGAAAGCGGATTCCTAGAGAATGGAACGTATCTCTATCTTATAGGGGGGTCGACTGTAATTATAGTTCTGAACAACCAGTTATATAATGAACTGTTTAATCTGTGTGGAATTAAACTTAATGAATAGTGTTACAGAAACAAAAACTTGGTTCAAACAAATGAAAGAAAATAGAAAAAACAGCAAAATATGTAGTCAAAAAATATTCTCATTCACTAGTGATAAATGATTTGACTTTTGGTTTTTCCTAAAGTATTTATAAATATTACAAAACTGGTGATGTACAAATACAGGGAGGGGTTAACTAAACACAAAACATGAGACTAAGTTAGTTGTAATAATTCAAACAAATCAAAAAACTATATAAAAAAAGTAACTCTGTTATAATTAGTCTAATTCAAAATCCAAAGAACAAGAGAAATATTTACAAAACTTTCCAGACAACTGGGAAACTTAAATCTAACTTAAAATTAAATTTTCACAAAAACTGACAAAAAAATAACTCAGAATCAAAGTACTTACAAAGCTCTTAGAATCCTAACTGTCACGCCAGGAATGCCAAACAAGTTGAATCTGTTCACCAGAATCATCTTGCTTGTACTTGGTAGCTTCACCATTGCTTTATAATGTTCCAAATGTGACATCATAGTATGTGCCACTCTACTCCATTGCTAATAGTATGCATGAGAGACCAAAACTTAATCTGCCATTATGCATTTTTATCTTGAGGTATTGGCTAATGTTTGCAAAAGTATCTAGTTAACCTTAAAACCTTAAGTAGAAGGATGCAATTCAGAATCCAGCCACATAATATAAATTAGTAGATATCCACCCAGTAAGGTGACACCAGAAATCAGTTAGACAACAGGACAATTCAAAACCAAATTCATCTGTTTGGGTGCCATTCATTAGGTTTAACTCCAGGCAAATTCTTTACAAGCTGATGCTGAAACAGAGTGGAAATTGTTCAAGACAACAGTTACCTCATCAACCATCTTTTGCTGTGGACAAGAATTTAGATTTAGCACTGAGTGAGGACAAAAGGACACCTTGATGAAACCAGATACAGGCAAAGAAGAGGGCTTCACAGGAAGGGAAATACTGCTTGCCTAATAAAAGAGAGACGCTAGGAAGATCCTTGTGAGGACATTAAAGTAATCTTTCCAGTGGATGCCAAAGTGACTAATGTGGGCAAAGTGCATTTTGGGATGGAGAATGGTCTCACTGTTGCAGAAATCAGAAATGCTATCAAATTACTTAAATAAAGCAAAGCAGCAGATGATGAAATCTGATTTAAGGTTCTGATCCTGGTTAAATATTTAAGACTTTTATTTGTTTTTTTAGGTAGCATGGGATTCTGGAAAGGCACCATAGCAATGATAAAGTGGAGTTATAATCCCTATATTTAAGTAAGGAGAGGAGTGAATGCTTTATCAATGTATCTCCCTGGAAAAGTCTATGCTAAGTGATTAGAAAGAGGATGCAGAGATATAATTGAGGTGTCATTTCAAGGATGAGCAGTGACTTTTGATCTTACAGAACAAAAGTGGACAATCCTGGAAAAATGCAGGGAGTATGCAAAAATATTTATGCTTGCTTCGTAGATTTTGAGAAAATATATGACCAAATTTGTAATGTTGGTCTTGGAGACTGCTATGTGAATGATGGAGTAGAACCAATACTTCATCATCAAACAAACATCAACCTATTCTACAATCTTTAGAATGCATTTGATAGGTTTACAGCTATTTTCAGTAATGCTGAGATGAAAATAAGCATGCCAAAAACTGAAGTTAGGCAAGTGTAGGCATTCTCAAGAAGTACTATTAATTGTATACTCTAGCTAAGTGAAATTTAAATATTTGGAAATTGCATTCATTAATCTAGACAAGATGTAGAAAAAAAAGCACCCAAATTGAGGAACTGCCATATTATCATAACTAAATCAGTCATTAGTGCTCAAGAATGACAGCTTTGTCTTTCTCCTTAGCAGTGTATTCTGCTCAGTCCATATCCTAATTCTCACCGATGAGCATAAATGTTGGGTAATGTCCAAAAGAGTGCAATTCAAAATCCAAGCAGCAGAGATGAGATTTCTCAGACCACAGCTTCAATTTTGAGCCATTACTTCTTTGAACAAATATAATTGTGGAGCCATTGCTCCACAATTATATTTGTTGGATGTGTTTTGGGATTCAAGCAAGAGAGCTGAATTCAGGCCTTAAGACTGAAAGACCTTACTGGGAATGCTGCCCCTGCAACCCTCTCAGAATAACAGGTATTGCAAATGAATAGTAATTTATCAAAAACCAATGGTAAGATTTTTATTTGCATAGAAAAATATATGTCAGTTATGTCTAAATTTAAAAATCTCCCACTTTAATATGAATTTATAACAGGCAAATATTATTAAAAATAAATATGACTGAAATGAAATTAGAATCATATAAGTCCTGTAAATTTTGATTAAATAATGTTCTGATAAACATCAAATTTAAGCTTTTTAATAACAATTATAAAGAACAAACCGTGAACAGGAATTGTCTTCCATTTGTGCAGCATGTAGCAGTTTCTTATCAACACCCATGATGATATTAATAACATCAATTAGTATTTCCCCTATCTAAACAAGAAAAGAAAAAGCAATTTAAATTACAGTTTTGATTAAATTTGTGGTAAAGTTTTAACTCTGTATACTTCTTTATGATGTCCGGCAAACTCCATATAATTTTCGATCGTGCGGGCAATAAAAACGATGTCCATTTTATCCTTAAGCATGCTTCCGTCTCCGGTGTAATTTCTCAGTCCTCGAGCACTGTCTAATACGTTGGTTTTGCTCAATGATAAATTAGTCTGAATAGAAAAAAAAAAACATTAAAATGTTAATATTTCAAAATGTTAAACTTACTATTTTATGCTTTTATTTCTAAAAACAAATCAAATTGCTATTTTATTATTTCATAAAATGTTTTACATAGGAAATGACTTTTTAAATATGAAATGAGCAGCAATAACTTTCACTAGTAAGTTTTAGTATGTACAATATTTCTAAAAAAAATAAAACCTGAAATGGCTATTGCTGAACTGATTTCACCCATGATAAATAAAGAAGTAATTTACAAATATTCCTCAGTATTGCATTTCAAAGTCAAGGATAGAATGTAACGAGTACAGTAAACCCTTGCTAACTCGGATGAATATTTTTGAAAAATTGATTGTGCATTGTACACTAGTTTAAAATTTCTTGAGAATAGAAAACTTATAACTAATGAGTGCTTTTGATATCCAGAAGGCTGCAATAATATGCATTTTATTACTGTGGTCTGTAAGTTACTGAAGCTCATTTCCTGTAATAATAAATTCAGCAGTAAATCTTCTGTATAGAAGCTGACTGTAATAACTTTTTGTACTGTATATCCACATTGTCAAACACCTCACTAAATCAGACAATTAATCCAAGTTGGTGGGGATATATGGTATTGACCCCATATTTATGATACAAATGACCTAACAGAGTATAACCTGAGAGCATGGTATCTCTACCCTTTTGGTTAATTTAGGTCAGAAAATTATTATATGTCATGAATCCATCTGATCATTCTTTATTAGTCATTCAATTAAAAACTGTACTGAAGAGATGTTTTTTATTCTCTTTTTTTCTTCTCACAATGATCTGTGAGTGAGTGAATGAATGTTTCAAATAGGGTACAGGGTGCTATAAAAATGTTAATACTTATATGGGGAGGTGCAATTAGTCTAAAAATAACACAAAATACTCTTACAATAATTATGCATAATGTGCATATTATTTTATAATCAATTAAAAGTGCTCATTAATAAACAAATAATCCTTCAAAAAAACCTTTAACCAGTGTGTAGTATGTTCAATTGTTCACGCTAACATTTTTGGATCCCTCCTGGGTCCTTCTTCAAGCTATGTTTCGTTTGTAACGATCCGTTAGAACGGAGACCAGCTGTTTTTTGAAACAAAACTTCAAATATCGAACTTCGAAATCTAACAGGAGTCACATGCCATCCAGATTCGAAACTAAAGTCATTACGTAATGACCTGTTTCTTATAATGGTGGATTATGTATTTTTTATATACGTGCTCATTAATATTTGCCTTTAAAATTTGAAATAAAAAAGGCACTGGAATATTTTTTCAGATTTAAAACTTAAATACATAAATACCTTTGAAAACTGTTCAAATACTTTAGTCACTTCAGAAACATACGGACAAGATGAAGTGTCTAAATTTTCCCACTTTCCTTCATTATTACACGTGTGATATGCGAAAGCTGGCATGTAACCGAGAGCTCCAGCAGGAATGCCTTCGCACTGTAACTCTACTGTTATACTAGCTAATGTTTCTGGCCATAAATACTGTCCCTGTAATTGTAAATTATTTTTTATTAAAACAATATTTTAGCATAAATAAATGTGTAAATGATATAATTTATTTCAATAAAAATTCATAAATATAAAATTCTATTTATCATTATTGACTATTGTTTCATTAAGTTCTACAATGTTTACCTATTTCTCATGCTTCTGTATCTCATTAATAAATACAGTGAACAGCAACATATTTTTTTTTTACAAAAGGTCATAAAAATGCAACCTGACAAATACGAAAAAATGGGAGATTTTACTTATACAGGTCTGTCTAAAAATGGATCGTCAGGTACAGTACACTCAAACCTGTCCCCAAATGGTTCATCCATACATGTAAACAATGTGTCATTCTGAGTTTCCAATCCTTGTACATAAATTTCAAATCAAAAAGTTATATATAAGGTAGGTGGAAAGTAACTAGGCATTGAGAAATCACTATAATTTCTATATTTATAAAGCAATAATAATGAAAATTACTTGACATGTACTTATTAAATGGAAATATGGATACATACCTTAAAATTCAATGTAAATACTGGCACCATCCATTGGTGACACATTTTTCTTCAGATTGTGATGTAAATGGATGGGGTGTGTAGCTTTTTGCCATTTTATAACAGTTAATCATATAAAAAATTTTGTAAAAATTCTTATAACAGATGGTACTATATGCAATTTTGACTTTTCTGCCAGAAAAGTTATTCAACTCATTGCTGGATTTTTAATATAAGGAAATGAATGAGGAGCATTGACATTTTGTATAATTTATAGCAAAACTTTAGCAAATTAGAACTTGAAACAAATTGTTCAATGCAAGTCAAAAAATCCTATTATATCTGAAGGATATTTGAACAGCTATCCTGCAAACTCAACCTCAATTTAGTGAGCTTTGTGAGAGAATGAAAGAGCACCCAAAAAGACTAAATTAAAAATAAAAGACTGAATTAAGTAAATTTATTTTTACATTAGTCTTCCTTCAAAAGATTAAAAATACACTCAAATATGAATTTTAACATTTTATAGATTCAATGTTAAGGTTGCAAAAATTTGTTAAAAGTTCAAATAGAATTGTACAAAACAGTCTGGGAATCACAGATGTATATCACATACTGTATAAGTGTAAATTGTGAAGTTGGAAAATCAATGATAACACAATGCACATATCGTGTCATCTGTGAATTTTAATTAAAATGATGGCTTTCATGAAAGTCTAATGTGGAATTACAATAGAAACACAGCAGATGTCCACACCTAAACAATACATTGTCAATGAATATTCAAAATATTTTTGAAGAATCTGACAATAAAATTTAATTTATTGTTTAATTTGGTTGAAGCAAGACAATAACTTGGATAGATCTTGGATTTATAATTATAAATGGTTCAAGAAAAAGAGTTTTTAATGAGCCACAACTTTATAATTCTTTTAAAATTAATGAATCACATATCAATTAACTAAACAGACAATTTTTATTGATCAATATGATAAATTAAAAAAAGTTTAATTAAATATTATTAGGTAAAATTGTAGCTGTGAGTTAGGCAGTTGGGCATTATCAAAGCTGTAGACCAGGGCTTCTTAAACTTTTTTTATTCACGACCCCATTTATGATTGTGATTTTTTAGCGACCCCAAAAAAATATATAAAATAAAGATATATACAAATTTGCAAAAACAATAATGATGTACTACCTTGTCTCTTGTGTTACAATGGAACAGAGACAACTGAATATACGGAAAAGCGACAACACTGCACTAGTTCATACTACAATCAGTGTTGCTGAATCATTGTCTCCCTGCACCAGAAGTGACACAAAGAGCAACTCACGAAACCTATGACACAAAGCTTGCCATTTTCAAACTCTCACAAATTATTTTCAATATTTTTCATTAAAATCTCGCGACCCCAAGATTTCGCTAAGCGACCCCAAATGGGGTCGCAACCCATAGTTTAAGAAGCCCTGCTGTAAACCATGCCTGCAGGAGTAAAGAAAAGTTAAAGAAACCAATGGTTAAGTATGACCCTTTGCAAGATATAGCCCCTGAAATTTACCTTATTAAACATACAGTAGGCTTAATGGAATGCACAGCATGTTTCCGATCACATCCCAATAGTAGTCAGTGCAAGGGGATCTCATGTTTTGTTAGCTTTTAGCTGTCTCTAGTAAAGTGGAAAACAGTTGATTTTTAGCATTGTTTTCAGAAATAGTCCCAGATTTTTTCACTTTTAAATATTGCCCATTTTTTGAGGGTCTTCAAAATTCCACACAGGCCAACTTTGGGAGGGCTATATCTTGCAAAACATCACATGTAGATCATCGGTTTCTTTGACTTTCTTTACTCCTATGAGAATGGTTTACGGTTCTGCAGCTCTGAATGAGGCAGCTGAGACATTATCAATCTTACTTTACTTTCACAGTGCATTTTTTTTAACTGCTAAACTGATAGGTATCCAGAGAACTGCAAATTACATTATACTTCTATGTTCTTTTAATACATTTAGGAAGAGGTTAATTATTGCAAGATATAATTAATATAATTCTCTGTTTAATAAATAATGTTCTGCTTAATATTAAAATTAATTAAAATGGGAAAAACAAATGTTAACACACGAATAACTGTTTCTAATTATTCTATAAGTTTCTTTGATAATGGTAAAAAATATAACCAAATTTTCTCAGAACTCTTCATTAAATCATCTAATTACAAATTAAATGTGATAAAAATAATATATATCGATTAAAATACCTTATTGTCCGACGTCATCATCCTAGAACAGACACGATTATTCTCGGCTATTACGATAATTTGGATGCTGCGAGATTCGTTTCCCCTTGGCGTTTCGACGTGACATCTCCAAATTCCTGAGTGGTGGGTATGCAGACGACTGATTGACAATAAACTGCGTAATACACTCCCGTCCTGAGAAACGTGAGTTTGAACTGCAACGACTCCCAATGGATCCGTAGTTATCGCAAGATCGTCCAACATCCAATTCAATTTAATATTGTCTTCCACATTAGACACTCGACATTGAAACAGTAAAGCATCTCCCTCAAAAACAAGCTGGTTTACTTTCGGTGATAATTCGAATAATGGAAGTTGAACAGGCCAATCTAAAACAAAAAATTTTGTGCTGTTAATTAATTATTTTATAAAAAAAAAAGCTTAGCAAATCATAAAATACAGATTTGAATATTTAAATAGTTATATCTTTGAGCAAGTTTGAAGTATGTCTATTAACAGGACTATGATAGTACGATTACTCAGATAATTATTGCATACAGATAGTATAAGTTAATCTTAGGTGTTGAGGCAACCATCTTAAAACTTGCATAAATTTTTAAAATAAAGCAGTAATTTAGAAAAGATTTCTAGAAGAAAAGATCAACCTAGAGTGAGACTCTTATCACAACTTCTGTTAACTGTGGTTTTGAGTCCCATTCTGGGTACACTACTTGGACTTCTGATGATCTTTATTTTTGGACTTCCTTTCAGATACATGATATAAAATTTAAAATTTGTTACTTTACATGTAAAATGTTATTAAATCTTACTCTTAAATGCAAACTGACCAAAGGAATCTTAGCACTTTAAAATTATTAGACTTTGGAAATTAACATACGCATGATTTGACATCTAAGTTATCGGTCAATCAAATTTATGAGCTTATCTTTATATATAGAACTAAACATTACAGTGAATTTTATACATTATCAAAGTTTGAATCACATGTATCATCACTGACAGTGACCAGTTAATTAGTGTACTGACCATTTTCATTCGTAAGTAGACAGAAATGGCAAATGAGAAAACTAAAAACTTTTATCAATAGAAAAGTATCCAAAGTAAAGAATGTAAACTTAAACAAAAAGAAAAAAAAATATTATAATGAAAAAACTTACTGCAATGTAGATCTTTTTTGGACAGTTGAGAGAGAGACATGCCTCTTAGCTTTAAAGGAAACTGGCAAGCAGTCTCCTGCGTTATTCTTACTCCCTTAGATCTCGTCCATTCAATAAACCATTTCAACTGGCAATCACAGATTAGTGGATTAGAAGATAGATCACTGAAAAAAGAATATATTGATCAGTTTTTTAATTTAATTTATTAAGAGTAATATAATTAAACATGATTTCTGAATTAAACTGTTTTGTTTCACTCTTCCACTCATTCATTTATTCATTAATTGGCATAAAGCTTTCGTGTTCAACTTGAAAAAGTGTGTGTATATTAAAAAATTTACATGAGTTATTAAAAATATCCAAGACTTATTACACATCACTGATGTGCCCTGTGCAAGATTATATTTTTGGCACTCAAGTCCCACTCTGGATCAGTCATTTCTTCCAGAATATTCTAAATTAATTAAGTCATCTGTTAAATTCAGTAATTAGAATTAATCACTTCAGTCAAATTACACAGTGTTTGTTTATTCAATTAATCAAAATCTAGCCTAATGATAAGTTCAGCTGATTAAAAATATGCATTTATCTAAAGGTAGTGGCACACCCAGAGGGGACCAAGGGCCCCTGGCACCCCCAAAGTAAAAGGGGAAAAAACACTAGTAAATTTTCCAAAAATATTTTCCTATTCATTTTTTTTTATTTATATTGTATTGTGTCTTCTATTTCTATATTACTTATGAATTAGTGGTTACATAAGGTGAGAATTTTATTGAATTTGTACTAAAAATATTTTTGTCCATTCAATTTGGCCCCTCAAAATTAAAGTGAAATCAATGCCCGAAGATAACAATAACTGAAACTCTGATTACAATGAGCGTATTTTGGCTCATACGTTGTGGGGCACGCTAATTCTGAGAACATTAGATGACTGATAGTATCTGTAATTAAGCAGATTTTACTTTATAAATAATTCCAATCTAATACATCATATCATTTAGCTGTGTAATTAATGATGTGGATACAAATTTGAAATTTTCTCAAATTTCAGTATCAGAGTTCATATAATATTAAAAGTCTCTTTTAAACTGATCATTCCATTGACATTAAAACAAATTAAACTCATTATTTAGTTTTTTTCTGATACTAAAGCTTTTGTGTAACAGTTACCTTTATGCATCTTTTCATTAATTTTTATATGATAATATTTGGTCTAATAGAGATGGAGAACCTTTTTTAATCAGAAGCCACATCCTATTTCAGAAAGATCTGTTAAGACTCCATAATGTATTGCAGGTTGCGTTGTGCATATTTACAAATGTGTCTACAATTAGTACATGTGAACCAATGATATACAAGGTCTTCGAAAAAAGAATGCTACCATTTTCAATTATTGTAATTACGTCAATTATCACCTGAAAAGTATGCAATGTACACCAATCGACAGAGTAACCATCCAAGTTTCATCTCCCATCTGCATTCAAATGTTTTGTCATCTACTACCTCTAGGAAGCACTGTAAACAGAAATCAACTCTGCAACAGAAAATGTGTCCTGTGGTTTGCAAAGTAGGAATCACTCGTCATTGTGCAACACGAGTAATCTGCAGGAGATGAAGAATTGTGGCTGCCATGGGAGGTGTGATGAAGTAGTGAGTGTAGGAAGAATTTGAATATTGGTTGGATGACATGAGGTGCACACATTGAGAAATTGTAATGGGCAAGTGTGAAACTTGGATTATTTTCCAATGTTGAAATGTAAAATCATCCAAGTTTCACACTTGCTCAATGTTGAGTGTAGGGTTTTACAAAAAATTGTAAATGCTAATACAGTAGAACCTCGAAAACTCGTCCCTCGATAACTTAGCACTCCGGATAACTGGTCCACACCTTGGCAGGGCGAAAAAATCCTTAGTTAATTAATTTTCATTATAGACAGCTTTATAAAAGTATAAAAGCTCTCATAAAGTATTTTTCTGAGGTCTGTCTTATCAGGTAAATTACTGTACACAGTGTATTCATTAATTTTCATTTTCATGTAGTAAAGGCTCTATGCCTTCATAAAGGACGTACTTTTCCTTTGTTTAAGGGTATTTGGGCAGTTTATTCTCTGTTATATTCTGTACAAGTAAATACTGTACAAGTACAGTACAGTATTTTCTGAGGAAATACTCGTACTTATTTTTTTTAACCCCATTCCCGATAACTCGGCATTTTCACAAACTCGGCCACCCTTCAGTCCACATTAGGTCGAGTTTTCGAGGTTCTACTGTAATGAGTAAAATTGTCATTAAGTCTGATCCTACTGGAGATACATACAACCCCCTTTATCTCCCCACCTCCTCAAACTTTAATCACCAAAATTTAATAGCATTAATCCCCCTAATAAATAAACCTTCCTGCAAAATTTCAGAAATTTTCGACAAAAAAGCACAGGCATTACTGTAAGGTCTCTTTTTATGCGATTTTGAAGTTGTGTGGTTTGTATTTCATCCAAAAATTTCTTGGACAAACACACATATAGGCTTGTTTAGGAAGCCCGTGTATAGACAGTCTCCAAAAATCGTGGAATGCTCAAAGCTCACTCCATTTGTTCCACTGACATATAACGTTTATGGATGTTAAGGACTACTAGATCTACCTTAATAACTCTTCACATCCAGATGTCAGTGATTTATTTTTAGAGTGAGCTTTTGCAATTCGGGGATTCCCCTTGTACATGATACTTACCATCGACAAGTCACTATTACATAATTCTGAGTTTCGCATTGAAAGGTACAAACTGTAATTGTTTTGAAATTAAATTTTATTTTAGCGGTGTTTTGTTCATTTTTATAATAAGTAGCGAGTTTAAATTTTGCTGATTTCAAGTTGAAGTATTTAGCAGTCTATTTCTTTTAATTTCTACAAACTTTTTTATGCGGTTTTAAGTTAATTTTAACTTGTTGTTTTGGTTTTATGCGATTTTAGAAAATTACAGAACATATCCCTACTTTTTCAACACAAGTAAAGTCTTTTCTTATGCGAATTTTTTATATGCACTTTTCTGTAGAACGTATCCACCGCATAAAAAGAGACCTTACAGTATTAAACTTCAAAGAGGGTGAACTAAATTGTGCACCCTTCCACACACACACACACAAACATCCATACATGCAGAAATTACCCCCAAATTATTTTTCATTTCATGACATTTCAAGGTCCCAAGTCCAAAAATTAAAAATCTTGCAGGGTAATTTTTGACCAATTGCCAAACTTTCCCTCTGTCATATGTACCAGCCAGGAAAATAAAAACTGTACTTTGGTAAATGTCTTTATTGAAAAAAAGAGAACAGAATGACTCATAAGTTTAATCTTTCTGTCATATCAAGCTGCATTAGAAGTCACAAAAGCCACAAGTTTAGGATTGCCATATGTCAAAACCACAAAATTGGAACATTGTAAGTTAGGTAGTATTTTGTAAAATATGAAGATAACCCAACAACACATAGGCAGTAAGGTACTCTGGAAAAGAAAATAATTCTAATTATACTAATTTTATTGAATTATCAATTATTTGTTGAGCTAATCATACAGTACTGGTGACTTATTTCAACTAACCTTTTGTTAGAAAACTTGACTACCCCATTATAGACATGGTCAAATCAATGATGGATATGATTAGAAATAAAGATCCTCTTTCTGCCCATAAGGCCGAAAGAGTTAAAAAAAAAAACAAAAAAAAAAAAAGCTAGTTCATGGCAGACATAACCATTGATCCATCATCAATCATTGGACAAAGCCAATGCACAGCCTACACAGGGCCAATAGAACATAATCTGTGCACCACAGATTACAGATAACAGCATATGTGTATGAGGACAAGTGGCTTATGCATGCACAACACCTGCAGACTTCTACTACCTACAGTTCTTATTCAATTGTTTTTAATAAAAACTGGAATAATTTCAGATATAAATGAACAAATTGGAATGTTTCAGGAAACTTTTCAATTGGGGAAGTGTTCCAAATTTGCAAAATCCAAAAAATTAGGACATGGCAACACTATGCGGGTTCCCCATCCCTGGTCTAATGTGTACCATATTTCTAAACAAACATGAGACAATTTCAAAATATTATCTCTTAGAATATAAAAATATTTAGACTAGATACAAGTATATTCACAAAGAAATGTATATTTAGAAGTAGTTTTTAAACTGATTTAAATAAATAAATAATAATAATGATATTCAATTTTAATATGACTTACATTGTTTTTAAGGAAATCATGTAATTAAATACACCTTTTGGTAATCTGCTAATTGCATTATGCTCCAAAATTCTGAAAGAAAAATGATAAAATATTTTAATACCAGAAGTAAGAAAAATAATTTTTAATCTTAATGAGAAGAATGTTTTAATATGTTATAATCGGGATATATCAGTAGTAACAAGACAATAAAGTGCCGTAGCATGCTTCAAACAAAGCTCCAAGCATGAATCGGCATTGACGAGATTGACCACAAGACGGAAGATCATTCAAAGACTGATTGTTGATATATAATTCATGTAAACCAGAGCTTCTTAAACTGTGAGTCATGACCGCAAATGGTAAATATTTTGGACGTCATATTTATGTATAGTGAAATTTTCAGCATTGATGATCATAAAATCAAAACATCAGTCGACTGAAAAACACTGAAGATACCCTTGGCCAAGGTTTAATTCTTTACGTAACATTTATTTCATTAGTATGCAAATTTGCTTTTATTTTTAAAAAATGAAAATTATGTAAAATAATATATATACATATTATTTTACAAGTTCTTTTCTTCAATTGTACATCAAAGAATTGTTTTGAAATAAACTGTTTTATGATTTATTATCAGTAAGTTATTTTATAGGTGTACACATTTTATATACCTATATATTGGGATCACATTGGGTAAAATGAGATAACAAATGGAAACAGTTTAAGAAGTCATGATATAAGCAAAACATTGCTTTTTCAATAAAATTATCAATTTTAATATCACAGTGCTTCAAACATTTTCTTACCACTTCTGATACTCCTTGTATAAAAATCCCCAATTTTCCAGGTTTTGATTATCTGGGTTTCCATGTTGTCCAGCTATATATAATTTTATTGATGAACATTTTGATCAAAAATTATCCATTTTAGAATTGTGTGCAAACATCAAGCAGCTCTGAACTGAATAAATGAATATTTTCGTAGTTTTTATTTCAATAATAATATATCTAACAATCTATTTCTGTATAGATATAGCTCCTATATCTATACTGCAAAATATTACATACAGTTTCATATTAGACCCTATAAGAAACCACTATGGGCCCTTAAGTTTTGTCTTGATCAGAGAAAAAATCCCCAGCTTCCATCCCCTCTCAATTCGTAACAATTCATAAAGCATAATCGTTTTTATACTTTACGAAACAGAATATAGCTCAATACAAGTTTGAATAATGTTACAATAACATATAGAAGTTGATAATAAATATCACCTCGTTATATTAATTCCCAGCAAAGAGAATTCCGTTTAGTTTGATCACGAAAGAAAAATATCAATTGGGTCAATGGAAGCACAAACAGCTAGCCAATGGCATTAAGATGAATGTTTATGTTCTCAATATCCCAAAAGAATGGAATATAAAATATTTATGACAAGTTGAATATCATGGACTATAAATCAATCTTAACTTCCATACCATTCTAGCTATATAAGAGAAGTTTATCCCAAAACAATTTATTCAATTCTGTTGGATAATAAATTTGAATTGCTGTGAATTCTCTTCACCTTTCTGTTCACTAATAAATTTGAATATTGACTTCTCTATGTCTTTTAAATAAAAAAGATGTAGAGAATTCAATACACAATTGCTATTTTACTATTTTCAGATATTTATTTAAAGACCAAAACAATTGTTCCAATCTTCAAAGTTAGTAACATTTTTTGTAAACAAAAAGATCTTTATTGATGATTACACAAAACATAATATCTTCTAGGTTTAAAAAGTCATCACATTCAATAAATAGTATGTAATCTAAAGCATTTGTTCTCAAAATGTGGTCTGTTGTGGCTGTACACTACATCATATTATATTTTAAGTTTAGTTCTTTAGCATATTTCCTTTGTTCTTTCCACCTTCTAATCTTCTTAATTACTCTTTCCTCTTGGAGATGAGGACCACTTTCTGGAATGGTCAAACAATGAACGCAAAGTTTCCTGGGGCACATGTGAGGCGAATAAGTTTTTGGCTGAAATTCAGAATTTCCTATCACCCACATACGAGGAGGAAAATCTCAGTTAAGTCGGCCATGCATCTGATGACGACTTACTGGCTGTTCTTGGATGTTTATTGGCGACAAATCGTATTAAAACGTGCGGGAAAAAACATGTGCATAGAAGTCTATGGTGCAAAGAGTAGTAGTAGTAGTAGTGGTTTGGGTAGCACTGTTCACAAAATTAATTTTTCATATGAATAATTTTTTAATGGAATTATTTCAGATCACAAAATTAATTTTTCAAGAGAAATCTTGGGCTATAGATTCTGTTAAAAAGCATCAATTATCAGCGAAAGATCAATGGCAAGTCGATTTTACTACCAAAAAAATTCATGGATTAAATTTTACAGACGAAAAACCATCGGATATAACTGGCTGGATCAAACATAGTAATTTACAAAACTTATTAAATTATTTCTCAACGTATAAAGAATTATTTTTATTTAAAGGTGGATAGATAGAAAAAAAAATCTTTTTAAAAACTTGAGCTACAGTTATTTAGTTATCGAACTTCTTGGGTGTCCAAGATCAGATAATATTAAAAAGAATTGTTATTATCACAAATATTTTAAAAAGCATTGTTCTTTTTGCAATATTCTATCTTACAAACAATTCTTAATTGAACAAAAAATAGTTATTTTCAAAATCAATATGTTGTATAGATAGGTATTTAATAAATAAGTAACAAATATAATTTAAATAATTATTATATTAAACTATTTCCCTATTTTACTTTGCCTTATTGTTAAAATATTATTTTAAGTTATCGTGTTTTAATTTACTTGGATATTAAAACAATAAATTTTTTAAAATGTAAAAGAAAATGATATTATACAGCAGCCTGTTATAGAGTATCAAGATGTTTTATGAAAAGTAAAGAAATGAACTGAAAAGTTTTCTAAATATTAAAATTATTTATAATTTTAATTTACTCGAGAAATTTTTGATCTGAAAATAATTTATAACATTTTTCAGGTTATAAATTATAAAAGTTAAGGTTATAAAAATAATTCTTCTAAACATTCACGAGACATTGTTCTCACTACTTAGAGGCCTCACAACTGAATGACATGACAGCGCACACGTTACGATTGGCCTGCACAGTCCGAAACAGTGCAGGAAAATCAAATGGTTTTTCGTTTCTACTCCAGCAGCCTGTACAGTTCTCCGAAACTGTGTAGTTTTCCCCTACACACTAACAGGAATTCCTCAATGCCCGGCCTGCACAGTTATTCCTCAAAGGATTTCCTTAACATGTGTGGTCCCCTTAGACTGAGGAAAGGTGAACGTAAATGCAATTTGTGCTCCAAGAACAAAGCACATACTCAGTATCAACTGGGCCTTGACCCACTCTATGTATTCTTTACTCTATGATCTCAATATATGGGGCTCAATGCTGCCTGGCCATAAAACATTATTTCACACTTTTCTATCTTTCTTGTCCCATCTTCAACCAAAACCCTACACCTTCCCCTTCTTGCTTCTTTTCAAAGGCTAAGCCACTGGTACGGCCTTCTTAACATTTGCAAACCAAACCAAACCCCAGGAAGTTTTCACATGGTCCCTCACAACAGCAGCAAGACATTTGTATGACCAGGGTTCTTTATTTTATTCTTTCAGCCATCTTTGATACTTCTCAACCCTATCAACTGTTTTCCATCTTCCTTTAGTATAAATTAGTTTTAAGAATTAGTTATAAGGAAATTTTTGGGTAATAAAGTATTCTCAGACTGGGAGTTCTCTATGTGAACCACCGGGATGGGAGGGGTAGGTCTCCCGATCCGGCAACAGGTTGTTAACCCTTTTCACTGTCAGGATGGGTGGAAGGATTCTTTTTCCCGCAGTAATGGGCTTTATTGTTTCGGGTCGAGTGGCGGAGGGAGGAGTGCGTCTGTGAGACGTCAGGCGATATACGAGTAAACGAGGAGGCCAGATGTAACATAAGAAAAATTAACAATTTATTAAAACAAGTTTCGGGTAATACAACATCTAGTTCACGTCCCTAAAACACGGAGAGACCGAGAGAGAGCTTACAATAATTGGTTCCATACCTCTTGATCTGTTATCCACTGAGGGAAATTCTCCACTCTTTGAATTAGGAAAGTTCACTGGTTAATAATTCACTGGTTAGGAAAGTTCACTGGTTAGGAGAGTTCGCTGGTTAAAAAGGACACTATTTTTAAAGTTATCGGCTCCTGGCACCTGCTCTGGAATGACTCCCCCGAGAAGAGAAAGGAACGGGTTTTTATAAGATCGGCGTGGGAGAATGGTCACGTGATTGACTGTTGTGAGGTAAAAGGTACGCAGATGGGTTAGAGTTGTTCCCGGGACCATGCTAACTATCAACTTTGGAGTTGGAATGTGGGATTAGTTTCGAATTGAACGGATGTTTATGTCAAACATAAACGAAAAGTTTTTTTTCCCGTTAGGTTTCACTTTAAGTTAAAGGAAAATTTAATTAGATTTTAAGCAAATACGGGACAATTAATCAACAAATAATCGGTAAAAATTCCGGATCTCACATCTATATCAAAAATACACTCTAGTGTACATGAACAATATATAAATCTCAGTACAGTATTCTAACACCATTTGGCAAGATTTAATTCTAACATAGTGTACACATGGTTACAGACATTGGGTGCATTCTTTTATTCCTCCGTGTAACTCCGCGCGAGTGACACCCGTTTAAAAATTCCTACGGAAAGCATTCCTAATTTCTGGTTGGGGTTCGTGCCATCAAATGGCAAAAACAGCCACTTATAGCAGTAGTTTACAGTGGAAAGCAACATGGCATCCTCCATAGCTCAGATAGTTTCGTTTCGGGGCCCATTATGTGGTTTTATGAATGAAAATTTAGAAGTTGTGCAAGTTAGTGCACGTGGTGATGTAAGTGTCTTTTCGAATTTTTTTCGAATAATAGCCGGCATTCTAATTTTTTTCATGGGTATTTTGAATGCTCTTTCAAGAAATAATCCATTTTATGGTTAAATTTTACAATTGGAACACTTCTTTTGCCTTTAAAAGCTCATATTTTA